ACCAAGGTCCGTTGGTACCTTTACCATCTCACTTTTTTTACCAATTATTGGTAATTTTACCAAGACAGACTGGTAAGCTTACCTAAAAACCGGTATTATTTTTTATTTTTTACTGTTTTTTTCAGGTAAGAATACCACTTTTATGGGTAATCAATTCCCGGTAACTTTGCCATTTTATCTTGGTAATTCTACCGCAGTCGATAAAAAATATTGGCGTTTTTACCAAGGTCCAGGAAAAATTACCGAGGAAGTTCAATAATTTTACCAAGATTCTCGGTAAAATTACCAATTCCATAAATGGTAATTTTACCAAGAAAAAACTGGGATCAAATAGAACCCTGAATTCTTGGGAATTTTACCTTTTTCTTATTAAATTCACCGAGATGTCTTTTTCAGTGTAGGGTTTCTCTCTCCGCTCAGCCAGTTGGAAAAAGCAAACAAACAGAAGGCGGCTCTCTGGGGTCGCTCATGTATTACCTAAGTCATTTTGGCCGACTTTTTAACCCCCCCCCCCCCCCCCCCCCGACACAATCCCACATTTATGGCAGTTACGGCACCCATGGGACAGTATCTCGCCCTCTAAACTGAGTGAGACTAGCCTGACTCCCACCTCCTAATTTTCCAGAGAATAACATAGAAGACCTACTTCCTCTCCCAAATGTGCAGATAATAACAGAGGAGGCCTGAAAATAGCTTAAAAAAATTAGTGAAACATTTTTTTCACGAAAAAAGGGGCGGTGATGATTATGCTTGATCCCCTCCCCTGTTATGTTCAGACCCCTCCCCTCTCTAAGTGGTACTTGAATAGTCCCTCCGGTTTTTACCTAAAATTCCACAGGTTTGCATTGAAAAAAAGCTGGGGATTCGATAATTAAAATTAAGCCTTACGTAATTTTTGCGCTTAATAAAAAACGGCCATGGTTTATTGCAACTGGCTAATTTTCTGAAAACTTAAAATTTTCAAAAAGAGCCTTTTCTAGGTGCAAGAATCGCGTATCTATGGGAAATTGGATTTTCCGGCGAGCTGGTCGGTTAAAAACAAATGATGGTGATTCTCGACTTTGGTAGCAAAATGTAAGTAACATTAAACACCCGGGTCAAAAAATGTCTTTGGCTTTTCCTACGCAACTGAATTTTCAACTGTCAACAGTCATTGGACAACTCTCTTTTTCTAGCTAACTGATGTGGGTTTGACATATGGGTGTATGGGCGGACGATGTCTTTGACGTCATGATTTCTGATTTATTTTTGGCTGCTGAATCCGAAAATGGCCCCGCTTTCTTCCAATATGCAACTTTGATAATCCCAGAAAATTGATTTTTCCTCTAAAAAGCTCGACTTTTTGGAAAAATGTAGATTTTCCGGGATTTCCTGAGCATTTGAAATACTTCGAACAGCGCTAAAAATTTTGTAGGGATCTACCATTAAGCCTAATACGGCTGGGNGGGGGGGGGGGGGGGGGGTTGCAGAGCTAAGTTGTTGATTAATCTCCAAGATCTGAAGGTGATGGCTTATTTGCAATGTCTTAACAATCAGTTAACTTTATTTTAAAGTGAGAGAAAGCAAAAAAAAGGTTAAGAGAAACAAAATTCAAACAGAATGATGGAGGCAAACAGAAAGAAGGGAAGTTTCCAACTCCTCGCAAGAGAATTAAAAGTGACAATGTAAGAAAGATGAATGGACACAAGAGAGGTGGCTAGAAAAACAAGTAAAAAAGTAAGGTACGATCTCGTGTGGGTGATAGGAAATTAGGTATTTTCAAATCCGAAAAGAGCTGATTGAAATCTTACTGACACATCGATCAATCGTCCTGGTGGCATTTGCTGAGGGGGCCGGTAATTACCATGTACGCCTGGCAGTTAACATGTAATCAATTCGTACATCGAAAAAAGTTCAAGCTCCATTTTCTTACTTGAAATATTAATCAGTCTGGGTCGCAAGAGGACGTTGATCTCAAAGAATCATAGAGTTCAGAGCAACAAAAAATTTACAACGAACTGTTGCACTTTCAATGTGCTAACCGTTTATCGATCTCGTAAGGTAGCAAGATGTTCTTGCTTACTTGCGCATTGTGGTAGTAAAATAGTCATAGTTACAGGACATTTTGGCTCTATCCCTTTTTTACATCCCTGCGCACGGTCGTCCATAAATTACTAAAGGCACTTGGTTTGTCCATTTTGAAACCCTCCCCCTTACAGTAATGTCAATATAATAAATGCCAGGCGTGAGCTGACACAGATGCTAAAAGAAGTATATAGAAAGAAAGAAGGAACGGAAAGAATAAGTAAGAAAGAAAGAAAAGGAAAGAGCGAAAAAAACCCCGCAAAACATGGATACTTTCCAGGAAAAATTCCTCGTCTTTTATTTTTCCTCTTTTCAAGCAAGCCGACGGGGCCATCAAAAGTAATTGCCTGCACTTCGTTCATTTGTAATTTCAAAATAAGTCTGAAAAGAATGGGATTGAAAATAATAATTATTTAAACTGTAAGCATTTGCCTCGACTAATAGCTTATATGCTGATAAATCTGAATCTAGACACCCCCAAAAAAGATAATCGGGTCAATTTAACCCGCCTTGGGATTTCGTCAAAAGAAAATTCCTTGACGTGACACAACTATCGTCAAAATACCAATTTTTAAACGAGCGCCGTCCAGGGCGATTGAGAGACCATTATAATTTTTTTTTCCCCTAAACGATTATTATTTGGACGCATCATAGCATATTTTAAGCGAATTTGTCACTATAACTTTTCTCAAACTTCAGAAATAAGAGGAACCTTAACGCGCGTTGGTTACGGCGCAGAGATACAACTATTCGTGCTTGATGGATGTCCGTGTCGCATCTGCGAAATTGAAGGCGCGATGGCGCGAAGCATGGATTCGCAATGCTCAGCTCTATACTGCCAATGAAGAGTCACTCAGATTTGGAAGAAAAGTTAAAAATCGATGCTCATAAATGTTTCTCCTATCTTCAACTATTTTGACGCTCGATTTTCAATTTTTTTTTCGATGTGATGTCTGATTATTTTTATTATGTATTTGTAGACCTATACGTGGATTACATTTTATAATACGGAACCTCTATCTCTGACTCTTCCATAAAGCACGTATCTGCATGGGGAAATCAATAGCATATGTGTTATTTCTAGAATGAGCCGGAATAGTGGTTCCTTTTTGCAAAATTTAATTCATATAATATAATGCTCATACACGCCGGCCCCATACAGCCTATGGGGTGAGATACGTGTTTTTGGCAAGTCTCATGTCAATTGAAAGCGGCTTGGGCATTTGGACATTTGTGGGCCAACATATTACTATTAATACACGGATGATGTTTATTAGCCTATCCCAAAAATTGACGACGAAATCTACGCTTTTCACGGTCTTAACATCGTCATCCTATCAATGCTTCTTCCTTCAAATTTTCAGGAAACTCCGCCTCTTTTATGCGATTCCAACACAGTAGAGCCCTTGGATGGTTTTTCTCCGAAAAATGATAAACTTTTTAGGAATAGATTGTTACGCAATACGCAATGCTTGAGTGACTTCCTTCCACCTCTTTCCTAAAATACCCAGCCCTTCGACCTTCAACGCGCTGGGTAAGTAATTATAGACGACCTCATAGCAAATATAATTGAAAAGAGGTATTTGAAACGAAAAAGTCGCTGCAATTAAAAATATGAAAAAATATGTAAATTTTATACCCGACGACAAAGGCTTAGCATTGGTTACCTCCTTACACACGTGTTGCAATTAAAAAAAATTAATTTTACGGAAATTAAAATTTGAGGTAACTTTCAGTCCTTCGCGTAACTAAACAACACATTTTGAAAATAAGTGTTCCAATTTTATTTCGAATGGATCTGTTCGACTACACGTTTGTTTTATTTACTCATGAAAACTGGAGGTGTAAAATTCCTCCTTTCATTTTCTTCGATGGGTTTCTGGATATTGTATGAATTAAAACAATTTGCTGCATGTTTTTCCTTCAAAATTTTACGAGGGTGACGAATTGTACCAAACCTGGAAATCAACTCCTTAGCACAATAAAAGTGTTTATTACAAGTAACACTGTTATAATGACAACATTTTAGAAAATTTAAAAATGACACCTTTCATTCAACTTGATTTCTATTTAATTCGTGTGCAAACTAGGCAGATGATAACATTTCTTTCAGGAGATGATTTTTGCACTAAACTTGTTCTCTACATTAGATTTCGAGGAAAAAACATGTGGCTCCTTCTTGTTCATTCACACCTTGTCTAGTATCCCATTCATGCTGGGAAAAATCCATTTAATAGAAAAAACATGAAAAAATAAAGAACAAAACAATCAAAATGTTTAAAAAATTGTAAGAGAAATACCTTCTTTGAAGCAGAGGCAGGTTCGTGCCGAACAGCCAAAGGCGTCTTTCACTAAGCCATTTCTCCATTGACGAACTGATGGTGAGTGAACGGGAAAAATCAAAACAAATCGGTAACGTTCGTTTCCTCGGGCGCGTTGCCACACCATTCCGTTAGCTCCTTTCCCCTCTTGAAAAGTAACTAAAACTTGAAGGCAACGTTACAACGTTGATCCATATAGACTTTATGCCGTAGGTGCCAAACTTGCATGATAAATCCTAGATTTCCCGGGGATTGCTGGCGGTTTTTACTTTTATTCCTTGCGCATTGGCGGTGGTGTTTGTGACTTGCGCTATTGACCTAGCTACGTTTGTTTATTTTCCCCGTAACCACAATCCACACAAGCTGGTCTCCTCGTATCTCCTCATTACTTATTCATATTTTTATGTTAAGCCGCCACTAATTGATACTGGGCCCTGATAAAGTTTAATCTGACCCATAATACTTTTCTAGTTCATCCGCGCTTTGTTGGTTCATTGTTACTCAAGAACGCTCCTTCGAATAATATTAGTTTTCGGGAGAGTATTTTCTCATTATTCGGCGTTTCCGAATCGATGGAACGACGAAACGACGAGAGAGCGTAACTATATTTCAAGGTTGCAAAATTTACTCATACAGATTGATTTTCAACAAGGATATAAGTGTGTGATTTCTAAATAAAATTTGGTGGTGCTTGTGCGTGTAACCAAAGGGATAGTTAGTCAGATTTTCAGTCAGAAACACTCAAAAGTTTTCTAGTGAAAACACGATTATTTTATAGAAATTTTGCAACGTTGAAATGTAGTTACTTTCATTCATGACAGATAAAAGTGTCAGGGGTTATACTCTAAAATTAAGGCACTACCGTTTGTTGGGTGATAAGGACAATTCCAATTAATTTTGGTTGTGCCGCGACATTTGTGTTAGTAACCGAATCTATTGGGGGTACTACCACAATTAATTATAGAGATGATCAAGTTGGGATTCAACCTCTACCTCTTTTTTCTCCGTACCTGATCTGCTGAACGACGAATTTTTTCACAACTACGCGAGCATGCCATAAAAATACACACTGCAGACTGATTATTAAAAGTGATGGACAAAATGATAGACAAAGAAGACGAAGATAAAATGGAGCAATCGTAATGGTTGAAGCGGGTAGTTGTTTTAGACCAAGAGGGAAACTGATAAACTGCATAATTATAGGGACCCTCGCGCCTCGTGGGTTGGTGTTAGTTAGTAAGTCTACTGCTTTCCTTTTTTGTCTATTGCAACTACCCACTTCCGCATTAGGATCGATCCATTTCATATTTTTCCTTTGTCTATCGCTTTGTTTATCAATTTCAATAATCAGCATGCTAGGAAAAATGTTCAATCGTATGAATGGACATTTCGGTTTTCCATATCGATCGAGTTATTCGGATTGTCCAAGTGAAATTTCGGTTTGTGAGATTGAACGTTTCATTTGTGTGATTGAATTTAGGTTATCACACCGGCTTAATCGAACTGAAATGTTTTTTTTTTTTTTTTTTTTTTTTTTTTTTTTTTTTAATGAGCCAAATACTTCGGTCAATATGAAACACCTGAAATTCAGTCCATATTCTCGAACTTTATAATTAGTGCATTGCAGCACTGATGTTTGCAAGAAAAACATCGCATGAACATTTAGACATTTTTTAATTTCCTTTATTAAAATGCCAATTTCTGTGAGACATTTTTTCAGTTTTTTTGCTAAATTTTTAAAAACTCTTCTTAGTAATTTGATTTAATCTGTGAGAAACTATAAAGAAAGCTATGCCCATAATAATGTCCCGAAAAAAATGTCAATTAAAGGAAATTTAGAAACTAAGCCTGAATAAGTCATAATAGACATTCGCCCATTGATGATATCATACCGCTATTTTTGAACCAGTATGATATCATACTGATTCGGCATGATATCGTACTGATTTAGCATGATATCAAGCTAATCGACTTTGCCTGTGTCCTTTCTTCATCTCAGGGAAGGTTCAGATTTAGGCAGTGGCGATATTTGAAAGTTGGCAACACTGTTTTTTCTCCGTTTAAATGTATGTAAAACAATCGATTCTTGGTGAGGCCAATCGATATTTTTAAGCCTTTAAAAGGCGGAAAAACAGTGTTGCAAACTTCCAAAATCGCTAATGATTTAGGGGAACTCACGCCACAGACTGCACTTAGAAGCAAAATAATCCTAAATTCAGCCCTGATCCTCTTTGTTTTATCAAATTTAACATGGAAATATTTACAAACCCTTTTAGATTTGGAACGTAGTCCCTAGATTCCTTTCGCGCCCACTAACGACACTAGCGTGCCTGACATCTGACTAGACGATACAAACCACAAAATTAGCGTTTAGCGAAGTAAAGATTGATCATGATTCATGTCAACTTTCCGTGCATGCAATGAATACATTAGTTCTGCAGAAAATTTGCTCTATGAGTAATTCCTTGATTTCAACTGTATATTTCATTTGCATAACGAGAGGCATCATCAAGGGAATGAATCAAATAAGAATGTCATACTTACCAGATCAATCTAGTTTAATGAACAAAAATAATTTTTATTGCCAACAAAAATTATTGCACATTTATATAATTACAATGACGAGATCGGGTCGTACCGCTAGAGCTCTACATTTATTATTTTGTACCATTGTAACAAAAATAAATTTTTTAAAACTAAACTTATTCATAGATACGATTTTTATGATATTCATGTTTACCACAACATTAAATCATGGATCTTAATTATTTTGAGTGTGGAAGAAACATTTTGCGCGACATAAAGGACGTCAAAATAAGAATGGGAGACGAGGCGAATGACCTGGAGTGAACTGAGCTAAGCAGAAAGGAACTCAGTCACATTTTAGAAAAAATTGTTTAAAATTAGATCGACACTAGTGTTAGTACTTGTACTTTTTCTCCTCTCAAAAATGCATCAAGTATGGAGAAACAATGCTTTAAATGTGAAAAAATTTAATATGAATACATGGACTGATTGGAGAAGACAACTTTAATTTTTGTTTTTCTTAGTTACAACTTGATAAGACTCAGTATTTTGCTTCGTAATAGTTTTTGGATAAAGCTGGAGTCATATTTTTCCATTATCTTTTCCTGCATTCCCTGCAATAAGACTTTACCAAAACGAGAAATTGTTAGACGATACTTTTTCGCATCATTTACATAACATTACTAAAAAAAATACTGTAATTATAAAATCAGCAAATTGGAGCTACAGCCATGGAACCAATTTTTTTTTTTTTGCGTGTGTGTGTAAAATCGATTTATTCATGTACCCAATGCGCTCAGAGGGGGTACCATTCTTGCAAAAGAATCTGATAGTGATGTGGAACGGCAGAATCGAGATACAAACTTAATATAAATTGCGAATTACATTGAATGCAATGAGATCGCAGGCCGTTTTCTTGTGTTACCTCGGAACGGAAAAATGTAGTCACGATTCTTCTGCCTTTAACCACTGATAATGTGATGCGAAACTGTAAAAAGATTCTCAAGAATATTCGCAAGATGTTTCACCAATCTGCACTAACCAAATGAGGAAAATGTGCCTCCTCCTATTCCGCTTTATATTTTATGTCTTAACATTTAATGTTCTCTTCCGTTATTTCCTAAAAGTTGAAAATAAAATCTGAATAATGTATTCAGTGCTGAAGTTGAAGGTCACTTCTACAAGATTAAAACACAATTTTCTACCGAATTAAAGTAAATGCAGGGATGTTCAAAAATAAGCACAAGGAACACTTGGAGGACTTAGAGAATAAGCCACTTTACCTATACCATGATCTTAAAGCTTATTCTTGTTAAGTAAGTACGCACCATTGATTGAGGAGAAGTAATTAAAGTATTCTTAAAATTAAGAACAACGAAATACTTATTTCGCATTGATTTTATGGAGTATAATACGTCTCATAAATAAAAATCATGACACGCAAACTCTCAGACCTCCGATTCCAAACCAACAAAATTAACGGTAAAAACTTTCATTATTAGGGACCTCCGAAGTTATTTCCTCAAAACATGTATATTATAAATAATTGAGTAGAGTATATAGCACTAACTATAAGGCTAATGCACTACGTTCTACTTATCTAGAAATAAAAAAATAAAACTTTTTGATGAACTCGCAGACGGAGAGAAAAGAATTAATGCTACGAGAGATGTTAACAAGATCAATTTCTTATTTGTTAAAATATAACGTCCGAGATCTTTTCCAGAAGGTTAAAGAATAACTTTATATTAAATACCTAGACATCGGCGAGGCAATACCATAGAGGCCCAAAACTTGCCGGCCGATTATCGAGCGGGATTCTTTCTCTGTAATAAAAAAATATTGAGAGGCAGTACTCTCCCTAATTAGGGAGAGCAACAAAAATTCCATACAGGCACGCTCAGAAGACCTCTGGGTAGACCAGACACTAGACCTTGAAGAACATAAATTGGACCAAAGTTGACCAATATAGTGAATTATACTCGGTCGGTGCATGACGTGACACCCGTTTAGAGTTTAGTAAATGCTCGTGTGTCAAAATTGGCAGCTTTTATTTCCAGTGGACCTTATGCTCACCCTCTTTGCGTTGATTAACAAAAATGCGAAATAATTTTACTAGTCTTCTACTGATTCTCTACCGGAAGTGCTCGCAACAAGGATGACATTAAAATACTCCTCTCTGAGAAAAATTTCTTAGACTGTCCAGCTGAATTCCGATGAAAAAAACAGGCCGTGCCGTAACTGTCTGTTTCCTTCACTGGAATTCCTATTATCGATTTTCTTGTTAATGCTAGTGGAATTTCACCATTTTTTGACGTCCTAGGAAAACTATCAGTGGGTCCATCTCTGTTTTCCCAACATAATAGGGCCGGATTTTATGGACCGCGGCCCATGGCGGCGAATTTTGGGGGCCGGCAAATATTTTTCAAATATAGGTATCAAGAAAAGATCTGATTAAGAAAAAAAATTACAAACGAGAAGAGGCGAATAAATCTCTCATTTCCTGAGAGTTGAAGTATAGTAACTTCTAATTTGTTCGTCTTTCGATGATACAAGAGACAGCGCCTTTTATTAGTCTAGTTGAGAGAGAAACCGAACAAGCAATTTGGCCTGGAGCGGCGCGGCGCTGAGACCAATGATGACAAGGACTTGAGATAGAAAAGAAAAAACCCTTGGCGTGTCGGTCAGCATGATACACATATTAGCGCGTACAAGACTTCATGAATACTTCACGCATTGCGTCAAAAACAGTGCGGTCAGTGGCGGTCGGCGTGAAACGCATAGCGCCTACAAGACTGTTGAGATACTTCACGCATTGCGCCAAACACTGTGCGGTTGGCGCGGTGGCGGAAATTTAAATCATTGTACCACATACATGTTTATTCTTTCATAATTTTCTCAATTTTTTCTTATAAATGAAAGGCCTCGTCTACACAGAGATAGGTTTACGGAACTTAACTTTTGCGCAAAGTCCCGTGAACTTTTGCTAGTGTTGACAGAGCTTTCACAAAAAATGTGCCCAACACAAGTAAACGCGTTTTATGAACCCCTCCTCCTCCGGCACGTTCACTTAATGGTTTGTATCGATGTTTCAAAACGAATGAGAAGGGGCGGCAAAATACAGGCGGCCCATGAGCAGCAAGTACAGGTAAATCCGGCCCTGCAACGAAGTAATTTTTCTCAGTGCATAGACTGATTTAGTAGCTACGTTATTCGATATAATATCGAACCCTTGGTTCAAATGCAACAAGAACCGTTCTAATTTGCGCCCTTTGCGCTATAATTTTAAATGCGTCCAAGTGTTTCCCAAAATCGAAATTTCTCGTACTTGATGAGTCTTTAATTGATTTATGACCGGCCAATGACGAAATTCCAATAAATTAGTACAATTAACTCATGAAGTCGCACACGAGGTAATGATAGTTTGTTTTGGTTTGATTCGATCGTCGATCGATTTCGTCGTCGATTCCGATTTAATATCGAATGACGCAGTCACTAAATCAGTCTATTGATGCCAGAGTTGCCCTGGAGATAAAAATGTTTACATGCTGGAAGAATGATGGTGCTTGTTCTCGTCTTTTTCGCTATCGGCGCCCCCTTTGATCGTGAAAGTGACGTAGTATCTTTTATTTTTGTCTAGTTTCTCGGTGGGCAGTGAGATGACCTGTCTCTCCGGACCATGGCTCAACTCCAAGGTGACCGGCCGTGTTGGATCCACGTTTCGAAGATATTTCGCGATGTCTGTTCCGGCTTCCTGCGACCGCTGCTTTTTCCCGCCTTCGATTTGCGGCAGGAACCCGTTTCGCCGTCCCACCGTCGTCGGTTTTGGCATCTGGTGGTGATTCATCTTCGCAACTGGAAAGCAAAACGCATGAGACAGCATAGCTTTTAGGAAGGCAGAGGTTTAATTTGATTACATTTTGCAATAAGGAACCACTATTTCTGGCCAATTTTAGAAACGACATATGTGCCATTGGTTTCCCTATGCAGATAAGTGCTTTAATGGGAGAGCCAAAGATAGCGGTTCCTTTTTGCAAAATGTAATCCAATTGGACTGCACTTTGAGATATGGAACTAGTATTTGGATTGCATTTTGCAAAAAGGAACCAGGAGCATTGCAATTTTGCTAAAATTGTGCGACTTCTATTGTCTCAGAAGAAGAACCTGATTATCCATTAACACTTTCTACTTTACTCGCTGAAAACTGTAAATTTAAACCAAAAATTATCATGTAAATTTCATAAATTAACATGGTTTCAGTAATTTTATTGCAAAGAATGAAGTTGCACAATCTTAGCACCATTGCAATGCTTCTGGTTCCTTTTTGCAAAATGCAATCCATTTGTCTCATCCACTGAGTCACCTATCTGCACTGAAAAAATTATTGGTAGAATTTACCATTCGTTCACGTTGTATTCCACACAGCGTGAAAGAATGGTAAATTTTACCAATCTTCAAGTCGATATTCTACCAGAGAAATGGTTATCTGTGCCAGTATATAGTAACGTTTACCTTCCTCCTGGCAGAATTGACTGTGAATTAATGCTGTGTGAAATACAGCGTGAAGGAATAGTCAATTCTACCAATCTTTTTTCAGTGTGCATCGGAAAATTGACCGCACAAACAACGTGTTTAGAAACGTTGTTTGTGCGGTTCAAATGAGCCACATTCGATGGCTAAAGTGCGAAAGCTCGTATGCAACGTTGCAGACTTCCTCTCATGCATCGTTTTTCCTTCCGTCTTTCCTTGGACACAGCTTTGATTTTTCTAATCAAATAGCAGAATATTCTTTACCAGCTATACAGTTGGCTTCTTTTTTATCGGAAGAATAAAATCGGTGCGGAAATGTTGGAACACAGCAATAATGATTTGTGGTTTCGTACCTTGGTCATCGATGTAGTAAGTTCTTTATTAAAAATGATCAAATGGACTAAATTTTGCAATTTGGAACTAAAATTTCTGGCTCAGTTTAGAAACAACGTATGTACCATTAGCTTTCCTATGCATTTAAGATATGTTTATGAATGAGCTTGGAATTTTAGTTCCCATTAGCAAAATGCAGTCTGCATGATCATCGGGGGTACAGAAAAATCTTGAATGATCATCACAATACCGGATGTAACCGGATCACGACGAGGTCGCCGCTCCTGCATTGGCGGATCCAGAAATTTGGCAACACCGGATTTCCTCCATTTGAACCTATAGAAATGTATCGATTCTTGGAGGGGCCAGATGTTCGCGACAAGAATCGATTGTTTAGCATAGATTTAAATGGAGGAATTCGGTGTTGCCCAATTGCTAGATCCGCCTCTGCGCTCTTGTATCTAGATGAACCTGGAAATTACGGGTCTGAGAATACGAGTTTCAATTTGAGAGAAGTCCAACGGACTGCATCACGACCCGGCAATACTGTATTGATGATCATTGAAGACCTTTTTGTACCTCTAATGATCATTTAAGCATCATTATGAAGTTTTATTTGATTCCCTCCCATTGCTACAAACTACAATCCAGTTACCTTGACTGAAAACTTTGGTGTTCCAAACGAACCGAAGTTTTTTCTCCGTGCAGTACAATCTACTTTCCCGCCAAGTTTTTATCGCATTACTTACTGTAGGCAGCGCATGGGATTCCGGTGTACGCATGCGTGGTGTGGTAACAGCGGTGTGTGCAATGAGTGCATAGCATGGGGTTGTCGGGGATGTTTTCCAAGATCGTTTTGCCTGCTCTCGTTCTTCTAAGGGCTGCAGTTAATTTGTCGAGGTTATCTGAAGACTTGATCCGGGGTATCAGCTTCTTGTCTGATGACTGCAGAAGCCGTAACTGGTCTGAAACAAGAAGCTTTCCTTTAGAATGTCGCATGGAAGAATTTGCGCGAGGAAAAACAGGCTTGATCTATTTGAAAGCATGCCTTACAGTGAGTTCATCGCAGAGTCAATTTTTGAAAGTTGGCAGTACTATTTTTCTCCATTTAAATGTATGTAAAACAATCTAATCATCTCACCTGAAATCGAAATATTTAAGGGATTTAAATGGAGAATAACAGTGTTGCCAACTTACAACACCGCCACCGGTTCATCACACTACGTCTACTTTAATAAAAGTAGTTTGTAAGAGCGGAAAGCGCGGAGAATTAACATCAATGTATCCTATTTCCCGTCATGTTTTATTGAACTCATACATTTTTTGTACTTTTTATTAGAAATCAATTTCAAAATTCAACCTCTTTCATACTAAGACTTTTTATGATTTCACGATTCACACCGTCCTTTAGACGAAAAAATATTATTTTTCTCTGTTAAACGTTCATTCGCCCAAACCAACACGCTAGAGAAAAAAGAAAGAGAGAAAATTATTTTAAAATGAAAAAAGCAACAAACAGCTTGTCTAAATGGATTGCACATTTTTTTAGTTTCACGTTTAAAAAATAAAAATGAAAAAAAAAACTTCGGAAACATGTTCATAAAGCTGAATACTACAGTACTGAAATTTTGACCAAAAAATTTATATGAACAAGAATTTAAGTTCACGTAAAGTATCGTTACCTCAAAAACGCAGATAAATATTGAAATTTTTGGTAAATATTTTTGAATGAGGAAAGGCAATCCCCTGAGCAATCCAAGAGAAACTGTTGATTTTTTTTTTTTTGCAAAAACTTAAACATGAGCAGAGATTTGCATGACAGCAAACATTGATACGCATTTTTTGACTTCAGCTATTCATACAATGCAATCAACCTAGGCGATCTTAACTCTCCTACTTCCATATTTTCTAATTAGTTATCTTAAGTAGTAACTACCTACATGTTCAATACAATATAATATGTATAATACTCTTACCATAGAGATACCGCTCGAAGTGTTTGAAAGAATAAGCCCCGTCATACTGCCTCAAACCGACGATCAGACCAGCCTTCTTGTACTCATCAACTAACCGCTTCACCATCACTTGCTCATTGCTTTTCCCTGCTCGAATTTGCAATCGCTTGAGTTCCAAAAGCTCATTGAATATTCGCCTCTCCAAATGATACCTATAAATGCGAGTAAAATTAATTTACAAGTATAAACACGGATGACTCATTCGGATCGCTGATGATGGATGGAAAAAAAAAACCCGCTGAAATAAATGTATATTGTTTATCCCCAAAACATATAGAGATATTGTCCGTAGAAATTAGGGAGGTTTGACACATCCATGCTCCAGGCTTTCTAAATTTTTTAGGATTAAGGCCTAGTAGAATCTGATTCTGCAGATCCACTCGTCCATTTCATGATAATTTGATGCCACTACCGGGGACCAAACCTGGGACCATAGGAGTTTACCTAGAGTCCGACGCGCTGACCACTAGGCAAAACTGGCCTGCAATAAATCTCTTATTTTAATCTAGGATAGAGTATTATTAGGTATCATAATAACGGTTTACATTGGCGTGTTCCGGGCTAGAATTCAGGAATAATCAAACAATGAAGTCGATCTCCAAAACGCTCTAAGAATTATTTAACGTGAATCGGAAGACCAGCACAACAGTCGGATTGTTCTTGTCCGTAAATTCAACATTTCCTGCTTATTTGGTGTCGCATCCTTTGACTATTTATAAGTCCAATGTGATCAAGGTCGTTGATAAGGAAGATCAATTTCCTTGATTCAAGGATTAGGACGGTTTGCATTCAGTTTGTAAACACGCGGACGTCTCTGTTCTATCTTAAGATAAACTTGATTCAAAGCCAGCACGAGCGTCTCGTTTCGTTGCGGTTTTATTAGTATGTCTAAGGATTAACGATTGAACTGTGTACTTACTTTCTTACGCTATTTTGTACAGCTTGCGTCACCGAGACCACATTAATATTCGGCTCTTCCTCATCGTCCTTCTCCTTTTCCTTATCTTTCTTTTGACTTTGCGAGATCGTGCTTTTCCCCCTTTTGATCCGCGACTTGCCTGTGAACGCGGGAAAATTAATAAACATATGATAAAATAAATTTTCAGTTATTTTGAGAATCCAGCGAGCTGCAGAACCTTGAAGAGATAAAATTGGACGGTTCCAGCACGATCCTTTTGGCTACAGCCGTTTCACTAACTAAAATTCGTAGGAGTAAATGGATAGAATTAATCAGATGGGAACCAACCCACATTTTCGAAAAAATTGAGTTAAGAATGTTTTCGAGTTTCAATAGTCGTACATATTTCCCCTGCCAAAAACTCAAAAGTCAAGGAAAAAAATTATCTGTGTTGAGAGGGGTTAAAGTTTATTTGCTACATTGAGCCTCATTGAGAAATAAAACTTCAAACCTTTTTTTCTCAGTTTCAACTTTATGTGGGATGGTTCCTTTCTATTAAACGCTGTCCAAATATAAGGGGAAAACAATGGTAACATTCGATAAACGAAGCAGAGAAGGTATGATAATAATCCGGAACTTCTCGGTGATTACGCAGCCGTTATCAGTGGGACAAAATGAAACGAAATTCCAAAAACAAAACCAAACGATTTGTTTTTTAAAACAAATCAATTTGTCTCATTGAGAATGGCTGCCTAAATGGCCGAAACGTTTCGGGTTTTTTTTTTGTCTTTTTACAGCCTTGTTTGGTTCTCCTAATCGGGCCTCGTTTTTTAACTTTACACCCAAATCTGAGTGATACTTCATTGGCAGCAGAGTGCAGAGCATTGCGAGTTCACGCCTCGCGCGATCGCGCCTTCAATTTTTCATATGCAACACGGGCATCCATCAAGCACGAATAGTTGTATCACTGAGCCGTTATCAACGCGCGTCCGTCACTCCTTCCCACTCCTTCCCCTTGCTCTATTCTCATGTTATGTCAATTCCATTAGTCACATTTTTAAGGGTGTTTCAAGGGCTACGTGGACCGCTGTAATGACCCTTTAATGTATGAAAAAATTGCAAACCTATTCTCAAAATTACGAAAATGTTGAAGTCCTTCTCCGTCCTGTGAAACCGTCAGTTTGCAGATATTGTTCCTAAGCCATTGATGTATTGTGTTTCATAATTTATTCGTACCCTGTTTAGTGTTTTGTTGTTGAGCGTTTTGTTTTTTCATCCCAAAATGTTTTTACATAATTTTACGCCAGATCATTTCTGTGACGGTCAAAAAAGTCTTAAGATTTTCAAAAAGTTTCGCGCACTCTCGTTAAAGATCTGGTGGCTAATTATTAAAATTAATAAACAAAGATACAGTAAAAAGAAAATGGAGATATCCTATCGGTTAAAATAGGTGGCTCTAATAGTTAATGGGGAAAATGATGAATTAGCCCACGGCAACTCAAGTAACGCTCCACGGTTAGTCCATCCTTTTTTCCTTTGGTCTATTACAGCCTCCGTTTTAACCTAAGGATTGCTCCATTTTCCCCTTGTCTGCTTTGTCTATCGCTATGTCTATCAAATTCAATAAATAGCCCGCTGAGAGGATATAGATCCAGCAAGGTGATTGCTGGAATTGATAGACAAAGCGATAGACAAAGAAGACATAGGGAGAATGGAGCGATCCTATTGGCTGAAGTGGGTGTTCCCAAGGAACTGAGGGAGAAAACGATGAACTAACTATAGGGTCTCTCATGGGTTGCCGTTAAGTAGTCTATTATCTGCCTCCTTTGTTCATTGCAACCACCCGCTTCCGCCAATAGGATCCCTCCATACGCCTTTTGTCTTCTTTGTCTATCGGTTTCAACAATCGACCTGCAGCGGGCTGATTATTGAAATTGATAGACAAAGCTATAGACAAAGATGACTAACTGAAAATAAAGCGATCCTATTGGTGGAAGGGGGTGGTTGCATTGGACAAAGGAGGTAAGTAATAGACCAACTGAAGGCAACCCACGAGAGACCCTGTAGTTAGTCCATCATTTTTCCCCCTAGCCTATAACAACCACTCGTTTCAACCAACAGGATCGCTCCATGCTTTCTATGTCTTCAATGTCTATCAATTTGTCTATCAATTTCAATAATCAGCCCGCAGAAAAGATTTCGAGTCCAGAGGACTGATAAAATTCTAGTCTAAATGAAATAATTACCTCTCTCCGTTGACTTATGCCTCCTAGGCGAGGGCTCGAAGCCGGAATCAACAGGCTGGGACGACTCAGCATCTTCATCCGAGAGCACCCGGAAGCTCTGCGACTCCCGCCTCTTCTGCAAATCCGGGACGATCGAGAACGCCCTCTCGCGTTCGGACTCGACATCATCCTTTCCTAACCTCTCGCTCGCATCGCTCTGCTCGTTGCTCGCCGTTTGGTCGGCCGGGCTCCTCTCCACTTGCCCGAACTCGATCTCTCCGGAGACAACACTGGGCTTGGATTCGTCTCTGGGTCTCTCGTCCTTCGTGTAATTCGTGTCGATGTCTACTTTCTGCCCGAAGACCTCCACGACCTCCTCTTTCGTCGAGTTCTCGTAGAATTTTTCACCGTTCTCGTCGTTTTTTGTGCCGTACTCCATACCCTCGAACGTGGATCGCTTCTCGCGTTTCGTCTCGGATGTTTCTCGCTTGGACTCCTCGAGTTTTGAAACGGTCTCCGTTGCAGTTGTGTTGTTCTGGCTAGTAACTTCGCCGTTTCCAACGTCTGAATTTTGCACTTCCGGCTGGAGGACTAGCTCTTTTTCTTCTCCGCTGTCTTTTGTTTCGGTCTTTTGGCCATTTTCCACATGCTCCTGGTGGACCTCAGCGGTGACAACTTGCCGCGTCGCCGTGTCCTCTATGGAAGCCGCATCCTCAGGTTCAACCCTTGAACTTTCACCTTCCGTTATCTCCGGCACCGCGTTTCCGGTTTCAGCAGGCGCCACTTCCGGTTCCGGTCGATCCGTAGCCTGATGCTCGCCGTTCACCGTTTCTTTCTTTTCCGTTTTCTCGGACTTGGTCGTTTTCGTTTTCGTCTCCTTCTTTTCTGACTTCTCCGTATCACCAGTCCGCTCCACCACTTCCTTCTTCACGACTTTCGTTTCCTCTTTCGTGCTCTTCCGGCTCGTCTGTTTCCGCACTTCCGGTGCTTGGTTTCCGGTTGTTTTCCCCGTTTCCGGTTGACTCTTCCGCGCGTCCGACGATTCGTCCGTTTTGATTTTAACTTCGAAGTTGGCACTTTTAGTTGCGTTGTTCTGGTCTGTTTTACTCTCTGTCGTTCGCCTCTCGATGCTTACGCTTGTTTTCCTTCTAGATTGATTTCCGGTTTGTGAGTCCTGGTCACTTCCGCTAGACTCTTCGCTGCTGCTGTAACTACTCTCGCTATGCCTCCCATCCTCTTCATCACCTTCTTTGTGTTTGCCTCTGCTTCCTTTCCTACTCCTATTTTTTGTTTTACTTCGTCGTCTTCTAGTATCCTCTAATTCTTTCGTTTCTAGGTCCGAACTGTTATCTGAATTTCTTGAATGCCTAACTCTCCGTTTCCTTCGCCTACGCTCATCTCCGCTGGGATATTCGGATTGTCGCCTATGTCTAACGTCTTCTCTAATTCGAACCTAACAAAGAAGAAAAAGAAGAATACGATTAGTGAAATGGTATATGTCGTTGGAGTTTTGCCTGAACGGATGGACAAATTTACAGGGATAAGTAGAAAAAACACGCTTCATAAATTTGTAAACATAACTTCATAATGGAATATATCAAACTATTGATTGCGTTGCCTTATAATTTAACTTATTAAGCCGATAGATAAAAGCGCTTGATAAGTACTGAAGCTTAGAAAAATACTGAAATTGAAATAAATAAAGTTTCAGCTGATATTTTTGTCATCCCACTTCCATGAAACTTAATAATGTTTGAATAAACTGAAGGGTACTCACAAAATACTATCAATGCGTGCAATTTTAATCCAAGGGGAATGGAGGGAAAGCCCTTATATTTTGGAATGAACAACATAGATCATCTAACAGAACCTTTTACTTGTTTTCTTTTATGGAGCAATTTTTTTTAAAAAAAAATCCAGGATAAAAATCTATAGGAATAGTGTCTCAAAGATGCTATATGCACTAAAAACTCACTGGTTGACGCAGAGTTAGTTATTGATATGAGATCAGATATGATCAGATATTGGGTCACTTTGTCTCTCTTCCCTTTCATTGTATAACCCTTAGATTACTAATACAAAAGTACGCACATATCATACAACTGAGAATACAAGTAGAATTTTTAGTATAAGAATTTAAAGTTAAAATTTTTAAAAAATGTTCGAACTTCAACTGAACTCACCTGAACTGTTCGACTTTTTGTATCTAAAACTACTGGACTGGAAGATAAGGATTTTGCTCCTCGGGGTAAAGCAGGTACTGTGAGATTATCTGGCGTATTCATTTGGTCCGAAATCGATTCTGCCCTGGAAAAGGAAAAAAATAAAAAAAAAAAAATAAAAAAAATAAAAAAAAATAAAAAAAACATCAAGTCTAGTAAACTTACAACAAAATAATAAAACGCAACCCACTCAGTTACATTGTGAAAGTTCAATGTTTAACTTTTCAAAAATGAATTTACAATGCGATGTGAAGATGGTTAACCTCTGTAGATCCTTATTTCAACCGAGAAAAGTTTGCAATCGTTTGCGTTTAATTCAATTTTTCGAAAGGAGGTAAATTGTCTTTATTGCTTGAAATTTTGGAAGAGTATTTCTAGAGAAGATCATAAAAACATTCAAGAAATGACATGAATATTAGTTGACTTTCAATTTGTTTGTAGAAACAAATGTAATATTTGAAATGCACACCTGCACACCGACGGTGAAACTACCAAACCACGTATCTCGTTTGCGGTGTTTAAAAATCTACGCTCGCATTTTATTTTTTTGAAGTAGACCAAATGAATATCATTCCTTGAAATTTTCACAGAATTTTCTCCGCGCGAAGAGGAAAAATCACAGAAATTTTCAAGACTGGACGTTGAGTAGTTTTTCATTTAAAAAATAAAGTATGACAGGAAGTCTGCGACGTCGCAAACCGAGATACGTGGTTTGGTAGTTTCACCGTCGACACTTATTCCAGCTAACTATAAGTATTAACTCATAAGAAGAGAATAGGTACTCATCTAACAAAATAAATAAATATGGGTAAGTCATATAATGTTTCTTCAAACGAGCAAGCAAACTGTTTCTACGGATGTGCGCTCGTCAATTCTTCACATTATAATTTTTGCCGTCGCCAGAACAAGCATGTGCATAGTTCAATTGAAAAATATTAATTTTCATGAGGTCACATTTCAATTTCAAAAGAACAGCCAGCAAAACGGGTATAAATTAACCGCAAAAACGGTCAAAGGAACTCCAAATGAGCGATGCAACTATTCGGCCTCTCGAGTGTTGCACAGTATCAAACCGAATTGAAGGCGTTTTGGCTTGCCATTTCCTCATCAGCTAATATCTCTACGTTACTAAAATGATACCCCTCCCTCGTATTAAATACAATACGTTCAAGTGAAGAAACGCAGACGGTTAAATTTTAATGGTTGTTTTTGATGATTATTATTTTAATTTTGTTGAGAAAAATTCTTACATTGTTGTCATATTGCTGATTAATGCTGTAAAAATCTGCGAGTCTCGACTTCTGTTTTCATTTTACCCGTGTACTCTTCTACTTTTAAATTATACATAGAGAAACTATGTTTGCCCCTTATATTTTCTTGATGTCTTAATGGTTGTGACAGAAGCACTGCTACGAGGGGCGTTCAATAAGTAAGTATCCCCCCTCTCTAAAATCCATAAGAATGGACCGATTTTAGAAAACTTGGGCTCAAACTCTTCCTTAGGATATTTTGAGTTCAACAAAACAAACCGCAACAAAATCAGATTATGTGCGGCCGAACGCGAGCCGTTTGAACGCGCCGAGGAGCTCGACGCTCCCGCCGAATCTGCGAGGATTTGAAGTCCGCTACAGGAGAAGAGCTTCTCTGCCAAAGCCTCAGTCGTTCATCACTGACGAAAAATCAAAGAAATTTTTGTAGAATAAGGGGCTTACCTCACTTCTCCACATAACCAGCTCGATCCAAGCAAGTCTGATACTGAGACTAAGACTAAGAGAACAGCTTTTGGATGCCTCGTGCGTGGAAGTCTTTTAGCTGACCGCGGATGAAAGAGTGGACGGCTTGTTTGACCTCTTCCACTGATTCAAAATTAACTCCTCCAAGTTCAGATTTCAGGAACGGGAATAAATGATGGTCTGGTTTGCCATTTATTATCGGATCTAAAATCTGAACTCGGAGGAGTTAATTTTGAATCAATGGAAGAGGTCTAACAAGCCGTCCACTCTTTCATCCGCGGTCAGCTGAAAGACTTCCACGCACGAGGCATCCAAAAGCTGTTCTCTTAGTCTTAGTCTCAGTATCAGACTTGCTTGGATCGAGCTGGTTATGTGGAGAAGTGAGGTAAGCCCCTTATTCTACAAAAATTTCTTTGATTTTTCGTCAGTGATGAACGACTGAGGCTTTGGCAGAGAAGCTCTTCTCCTGTGGCGGACTTCAAATCCTCGCAGATTCGGCGGGAGCGTCGAGCTCCTCGGCGCGTTCAAACGGCTCGCGTTCGGCCGCACATAATCCGATTTTGTTGCGGTTTGTTTTGTTGAACTCAAAATATCCTAAGGAAGAGTTTGAGCCCAAGTTTTCTAAAATTGGTCCATTCTTATGGATTTTAGAGAGGGGGGATACTTACTTATTGAACGCCCCTCGTATTTAGATTTGTGGCGTTGCAAATATACTTAAAAAAATATAATTTATCATTATCATCCCTCTCTCTGTATTTGTTTTTGAAGCAATACAACAAATGTGGAATTGAGCCACGCGATTGGTTGGGTTATAAGAATGACGTCGTGGTAAAATTTTGAACTCTTACCGCCCGAATAATAATCTAGCTAAAAGCGCCTGTTAAGTGATTGACGACCAGTCGATTATCCAGCCAATCACAAGCTTGTAACCGCGACAGCACTCTTACACCTGGTCAAGTGGCGACCAACCACATGGCTCCATTCCACCTCGATCTTGTTTCAAAGCACAAATATTCAACGATTGGCCCTCCATGAAATCACCACCATGAGCTCATAGATTACCTGTGAGGTCCACGCAATGCCGCTGAATGGCTTGTGAGTTTGCTTGCAGGAACGCCTCCGTGAAGTTGGAGATATTTGGCACAGGCACGATTGCCTTTATGCAGAGCTGCGTCCAGTGGTGTCATCAGCTGGCCCCGTGCTGTTCTCATCACTGGGTTCACCAATCCTTGATGGTCCAAAATGATCTGCGGTTTAAAGATGAGACGTTGATGAAGGTTTAAATGAAATGACGCATCAAAAAAATTCTGCAACCGCATCTTTTTTTAACGCATTTACGCACAAAGATGCATTCCAATGGATGAAGTTTGAATACTAAATTGACTTTATTTTGCAGTATGGAACTACAATTTGGACTATTTTTATCCAACAGAACTATGTGCATTATGACGTGAGCCCTTGTTATGCACATATTTTTGTGCGGGTCTTAGGACCCACGTCTTAATGCACATAGTTCCGTTCTGCAGAAATACGTCCATTACTGGCCCCCAAAAAATTACTCCCCATAAAAAAGCCAATCTTTTTAAGAAAACTAATGAAGCGGACGTTATTGTGCGAGGATTTAAAATGAGCGAAAAATATTACTTCTGAATTGAAATATGCAATCCAAATGAGCTCTTGACACGATTTTTGACCAGTTTAATAAATTTATAAAGCAAGCTTTGACCTCCCGGACCTCCCCAACCCCCTGAATTTGCCGCCGAGAATTTTTTTTTTTTTAAATCAAGAATTTTCCTGCTGAATGTAAACTACTTTTTTGCTTAACCCAAGCCTTATTCTCCTTGTATCAAGAAAAATTCAGCTTAAATTAAGATAAAAAAAATTCTTCGCGGCAAATTCAAGAATCATCATGCTCGCGCCAAGCACATTTTTTTTTCAGTAAATACCGCGGATTCGTCTAATACGAACTTTTGCGCCCTATGGACGTGTTTAGGGACTGAAAAAATACTCGACTTAAGCGGCATTTTATCTTAACCGTTGTTCGACTTAGCGAGCTTTTACTGTGCTCACCTTACACATTTCGACGTTGTTGTTAATGGCAGCGACATGGAGGGGGCATCGGCCGTCGTTGTTGGGGGCGTTAATGGCCTCAGGGCGGGCACCCAGGAGCCACTGGACAAGACTCCCCCTGCCGGCAGCCACAGCCTCGTGGAGCGGGTAGTCTCCCTTCACGTTGCGCACCCACAGGTCGGCTCCATGCGCACCCAGCTTCCGCACCGTCTCCATCTGACCCTTGGCAGCTCCGCAATGAGCTGGGCTTTGGCAAACAAATATTTTTACATTATTTTTATAGAAATGTTGCACTCAAAATTAGGACACCCTGATGAAGTAAATTAGTGGCTACGTTATTCTTCCGATAAGTGTAAAAAACGGATTAAGGTCTGGAGTACGAAATTTCAAATGGGTCAGTTGCCCGGGTCACAGAATTGTGTTTTGATGCTTGATTCTAATAGATTATCTAAAAATATTATGATCTGACCAAACCGCAACTTTCTATGCTCAATAATAACCGAGATATCGCCCTTTGAAAAGTCGGGATTTTGACGTAATCCACCGCGGTAGTGACACCCTTGGTTTCTTCCACCTTGGTTTTATCAGTAAGGGAGACACACATTGACACTGGTTACTCTACGGGAAACGCGGATGAAAGTATGGTGGAAGAAACCAAGGGCGTCACTACCGCGGTGGATGACGTCAAGAACCCAACTTTTCAAAGGGTGGTACCTCGATGAATATGGAACGTAAAAAGTTGTGGTTTGGACAGATCTTAATATTTGTAGCCAATTTACAAGAGTCATGCATCAAAACACAATTCTTTGACCAGCGCAACTGACCAATTAAATTGATTTATCTCAACTTCCCAGGTCTGAAGTACAAAATTTGGTGTTCAAAAGCGTCTAGCTTTAAAAACTGAAAATCGATATTTTTTATCCTATACCAGCTTTTTTGTAGTGCTGAACAATTTGAGTTTCCACTTTAAAGGCACATTTGGAGGTACTCCATTTCTTATTTACCCCCAGAAACTTGGCGTTCGAACGGCTGTAATTTGAATCTAATCTGGGAGACGACCATCAAAATACGATTCTGACCTGGGTATGACTGACTTATTTTTATCATAGCACCAGACTCCCGATTATTCCAGTCAATTTGGTAAAAATATGCAGTCGTTAAACTGAACTTGGTAGGGTGATTTTGAAATTTTTTGGCACTAATTTTGGTTGAAATTTCCCGCCCTTTTGAAATTTTTGGAATGTATCCACAAGTAAGGTAAGAGATCGCGTATTTTTAAAAGAAAGCCTTTCGAGCATACAATTTACTTTGATTCATTAATGTTTAAACGCAAATGAGTACTGTTTTCTCTATCGATTATCCAATGAATTAAATTTGTCCAGTCCCAATTGATCCGGCTAATCTGGAGTATGCTGCACTTTCATATGGGCGTATTTATGCGAAACAGAACTATGTGCGTTATGACGTGAGCCCTGTTATGCATACAGGGTTATTCAAAAGTCACGCACCACTGGCCATAACTTTAGTTCTACCTAATTATAATATCAAATTACGGTTTAAGACGTTTTTCCTCATATCGAGGGGGGGACTTTTTCAAGTACTTTCCAGTTTTTGATCTCCTCGGGGGGAGGGGGGGCGGGGGGCAACTTAAAAATTTCAAATGGTCAAATGGTGGTTTCAATGGTCTCATGGCCAGTGGTGCGTGACTTTTGAATAACCCTGTATATTCTCATGGGTTTCAGGGCTCATTCCTTAATGCGCATAGTTCCGTTTGGCAGAAATGCGATCATATGAGAAGTAAAAGTATTGCGAATAGTGCGAATGTTGACTTATAAATCTTACGTTCTGCCTTTGCGGTCCTGTCGGTTGGGGTGGGATCCGTTGCTGAGGAGGAACTCGGTGGCGTCGGCGTGTCCCAAGGTGACGGCGTAGAAGAGAGCAGTGCACCCGTTGCTGTCAATTACATCGATATCCGCCCCGCACAGAGAGACCAGCGTTTCAAGGCACTCCGTGTGACCTCTGCTCGCGGCACAATGTAATGCTACACACATCAACACAAAGCTCAAGTTGCCAAACTGCCCTCTCAGATAAAGAAATTATTACTAGTGTATTTATGTCGTAAGCAGTTAGTCAAATCAGGCATTTAGTCAATAGTCAAAGTTTATTTTTGACTACATGTTCTGGCATTTGATGAAGAGCCGACGCAGAGAAAAAACTCAACACAAAATCTTGGTTGATGCGGGGAATAAAACACCAAACAACCCAAGCCTTTGGTTGACAATAGTTGTTTTCTGCGTTGTATTTGCCGCAAACTGTACCAAAATTGACGCAAAATTTGGGTTGGTTTGTGTTTCACTTCCTATATTGACCACAAGAACAAGAACACAAATAATTTTTTAGAGAGGTGTGGACGAAATGAGTTTCGGTCGCCCGCGGCTGTCCTTGCGTATGCGCGATGGGAATATTAGCATATCGACGGTGAAACTACCAAACCACGTATCTCGGTTTGCGACGTCGCAGACTTCCTGTCATACTTTATTTTTTAAATGAAAAACTACTTAACATCCAGTCTTGAAAATTTCTGTGATTTTTCCTCTTCGTGCGGAGAAAATTCCGTGAAAATTTCAAGGAATGATATTGATTTGGTCTACTTCAAAAAAATAAAATGTGAGCGTAGATTTTTAAACACCGCAAACGAGATACGTGGTTTGGTAGTTTCACCGTCTATATTCAAAACATGTTTGCACTATGGCTGATACCACTATCGACCACGTCGGGGGCTGTTTTGCCTACTTCGAAAAGTGAAGGCGAAACGCGCTTCAGTACGCATTTGCTTACACTTGATTTATAGTTTGTTGTTTGTCTTGGGTTGTTCCGAAGTCGTGGTGTAATGCCGCCTTTGCAGGCACAGTTTTCTCATCCACAGTACCATCATCTAGAGTACCTATATTGAGAGAGTATGGCCACTACTGGTGTTACCACNCACCGTCTATATTCAAAACATGTTTGCACTATGGCTGATACCACTATCGACCACGTCGGGGGCTGTTTTGCCTACTTCGAAAAGTGAAGGCGAAACGCGCTTCAGTACGCATTTGCTTACACTTGATTTATAGTTTGTTGTTTGTCTTGGGTTGTTCCGAAGTCGTGGTGTAATGCCGCCTTTGCAGGCACAGTTTTCTCATCCACAGTACCATCATCTAGAGTACCTATATTGAGAGAGTATGGCCACTACTGGTGTTACCACCTCTGATTGGCTCAGCCATCTTAGGCTGAATGGAGCCCTTAGGACCCAAAAATGGCGGACACCATAAATTAATGTAATACAAAATGACTCAAAATGTAGTTTTCTTTGCTTATCGTAACGAGAAATTTACCCAAATGCACTATTGCGACATCTTTACATATTTTTAAGGCTAATCGTGTGCAATTTTTGAGAAAAATTATCGTAGATGTAGTAAGGTTGGCAGCAACTGCGGTTGGTGATAACCGTCAAAAGTTGGCAATGACCCCCCTCCCATCCGCAAAAACCAAAACAAAGCACCGCCATTTTTGGGTCCTAAGCCTCTCCATGGGGCCCAGTGGCCATACTCTCTCAATAGAGGTACTCTACTTAATTTATGAATGCATCAAAATCACAGAGTTTCTTCATCACTCCGGCAACTGAGATTGAATACGTTTGTTTGAAAGGTAGCACCGTCACGCTTCCACGTCAATTTCCCTTTGTGAAATTGAATCCACATCTAACACGGCCTCATCAATTCACGAAAGGAGGGGGCCATAGCTCGTAGAATGAGTTAGTTTTCCCGCAATGAAATCGAATTCCTCCCATAACCTTCCAAAAAAGGTTCAGTAGTGCATATCGATAATCAAAATAAAAAACTACGTATCTTCATCGTGATATTTCAAAATTTCCAATCCTGTTTTTTTTTTTTTTTTTTTTTTTTTAATGAAAAACGCCAACTTACGGAAAGGAAAATAAACGGAGAATTTACAGCGCCATCGTGAAGAGCATAGTTACGTTCGGGAGTGAGGTCTAGCAATTAAAAAAAAGATCCGAGGATATCTTACGGGCAACCGAAATGGACTTTTGGCGAAGGTCTGCAGGGATCTCGCGGAGAGATCGCGTTCGTAATGAACGAGTGCGTGAAATAATGGGAGTTGAGGAAGATATTGTGCACGATATCAAAACCAAGCAGCTGGTTTGGTATGGACATGTGCGGAGAATGGCAGATAGTAGGTTGCCCAGAAAGGTATTTGATTGGGTTCCTCCCGGAAGAAGGCGGCGTGGACGGCCAGTAAAAAGTTGGCGATAGGGAGTGGAGGGGGAGATCAGACGGTGTAATCTGCCCGATTATTTGTGGGAGGATCGATTCCGATGGCGATTTGGAGTCGCAGAGCGCTCTAGTGCGCTGAGGTAGCGGCTTGATATGTATGTATGTATGTGAAAACGCCAACTTTTGGCTTGAGATTTTCTTACGGAATATTAATACAGAAAGAAATTTAGGAATTTTTCAAGACATTACGTTAGTACAACTAGTTTTCCAAAGAAGAAATTAAGTATGGAAGGAAGTCTGCACAGTCGTGAACGGAAATACATGGTTTCGCTCTTCGGCCATCGATACATAACTAGTTTTATGTTTAAAGTTTGGTTGCCTAAGCAAAAGTGCGGCTGAATCATGCAGCACCATGCGATGAATTCCTCGTCTTTTTTAAGACTTTCTGTACAATCAGTACCTGTGAGTCCGTCCTTGTCATCAACTTCAACGTTGGCACCAGCTTTAACCAGGGCTAGAATTGCATCGGCGCTGCCTGAAAAAGTAAAACAAATGTTAAATGTAAACGGTGCACGATTTCTTTGAACTAATTGCTAGCTGCCCCGGCGGCATTTAAACAAAATGTGATTCATCATTTATTTGTGTACGTTATTTTTTTAGAACCAGGGAATCTAAAGCATTGCTCTCCGCAAAGAGGTCCTAACTTTTCAAAGGGCCCTTATCTTGCATTTGACTTTTCAATTAACCCGTTTTAGGCCCATTCAGACTTCGGCGGTTCGCCAATCAATCTTTTCATTTATTAATTTTCCTTACGATAATTCTGTACATCGTGCCGCATATATATGTCAATTAACTATTGAAATGAATCGAAAGCGCCTAATGTAAGCGCTCAGTTCAATCTCGCCAATTTCTCGGGCATCAACAAGTCACACGGGGTCACACTTGTCAATAACTGCAGCTTTTGACCCCCTTATGAAAGTGCATGCATGTTCAGGAACATATTTGCGTTCAAAGGCGTGATGCACCGCTGAGTAGCCAAATGCTCATGGAAATTCCCATTCTCCTCATTCTTCATAGGGCAGGGAGGTTGATTTTGCGGATACTTATTGCAACTCTGCTTCACGATGGCAAGAGTTATTGCCAAGTTTAAATTAATTACATTCATTGTGCACTGAATCTTACGAGTAATTCGAAGTTTTCGGAGAAATTGAACTTTGCGCTGCCTGTTCAAGACCCGCATCGAACGCACTCGCGTGATGAATATTGCAAACTGTTCAAATCCCAGAGGCGAATTCTATCGTGGTTTCTGAAGGTGAATTAAACATTTAAGACAACTGCTGCTGTGTTGCACTTCGAGGAATGAAGTTGTCATTTGAAATGACTTTTGCAGCATTATCAAGCACTTTGACAGATCATTTTTTGCTCGAACTTGCGAAGGTTGTTGCCGTGCTTGTCAGAGGAGACCTCAGGCTACCAAATGCAACATTGATAAAAAGAAAAAATGAACGTGTGTCAAAAAAGAAAATGAAGGATAATACCCGACCGAGTGATATTATGGACTATGTAAACAAATTGTAGCGTGTGAGCTTTAAATCGACGATGAAACTCCCAAACCATGTACCTCGTTTTCTGTGTTTAAAAATCTCTGCTCTTATTTTATTTTGCTTTTAAGGAGACCAAATTGACGTCATTCCTTCAAGTTTTCATAGAATATTTCTCCTGTTGAGGAGAAAAATCCCAGAATTGAATAAGAAGTGACGCTAAATAGTTTTTCATTTAAAGATAAAAGTATGACAGAAAGTCTGCCACATCGCAAACCGAGATACGTGTTTTGGGAGTTTCACTGTCGAAATGTTTCCGAACGGAACGAACCACAGGACAGAGGTGATTATTTATACTGATATACAATGCGATAGAAAAATAAGATGACGGGGAAATGGAGCGATCCTATTGGTTGAAACAGATGGCTTTTACAGACTATGGGGGGGGGACGAGGGACTAACAAAAGGGTGTCTGGTAAGTTACCGTTAGTTAGTCTACTACTACTTACCTCCTTTGTTCATTGCAACCGAACGCTTCCACCAATAGGATCGCTGCATTTTCTCTTCGTCTTCCTTGTCTATCGCTTTGCATATCAATTCTAATAATCAGCCCGAAGAACATTGAATGGAATAAATGATGATGGTTTACCTGCACTAGCGGCCCAAAGTATGGGCTGTCTGCCATCTTGGTCTTGGACATGGACGCTGACACCGTGCCTCAAGAGAAGCCGGAGGACAGCCAATCCAAGCCGGGGGTCGCCGCCCATCTCGGAGCTCGGCCCGCACATCTGAGCCGCGTAGTGGACGGGGTACCCGCCGTGGATGTCGGGGGTCGAGGGATTTGCCCCGGCTCCCAGGACGATCTCCAGCGCTTCCACCTCCCCACACACTGAAACAAAGAATCAATACATATAAGTCGCTTTACAGCACTTCCTCGCGCTCTACGACTCCTAACCTCCACTGCTCTCTATCAAACCACAAATCTTGGGGGATTGAGCACCTTGACATTTCCGCTTCAATCCCTTCCCTCCAACCTTTCATTGGGCGCCCTCTGCGTCTTCTCCCAGGAGGAACCCAGTCAAGGACCTTCTTCGGCAACCTGTCTCCTGCCATTCTCTGGACATGACCATACCAAATGAGTTGTTTTGTCATAATGTCATGCACGATGGTCTGCTTGGCATCCATGATATCCCGTACTGTCTCATTCCTGACGCGATCCCTTCTGGAAATACCAGCGGATCTACGCCAGAAGTCCATCTCTCTTGCCTCTAAAACCTCCCGGGTCCGCTGTTTCATCGGCCATACTTCACACCCGTAGGATACTATGCTCTTGACAATCGCGTTGTAGATCCTTCTTTTGTTCTCTTTGGAGATCCTTTGATCCCAAAGGACTCCATTTAACATAGCAAATGCCCTCCTACTCAGCATATTCCTCTTCTTGATGGCCTGGTCCAATCTTCCATCCTGGGTAAAAAACACTCCTAAATATTTGTAAATATCGCAGCTTCCAATTTGCCGCCCATCCTCTAATTCTATACTTTGCTGATTCCCGCCAACGGTCAACTTCTCGGTTTTCCGAAATCAATCCAATTTAAATTTCACAATCTGTAAGTTTCGATTGAAGCCGGATTACTTTTATTCAATTTGGATTAATTTATTTTATACTTTTATTACATTTTCCTTAATTTTATGACTTAAATTTTGGACTATCGATTGTGAAACTCCAAAACCACATATTTTAGGTGCGACATCACAGATTTTCTGTCATACTATATTTCCTAAATGGGAAACTACCGTACCGCACTTCTTAAGACCGGCAATTCAGGATTGCGCGAAAGGTCTAAGGAAATACATGAGGATTGTGCGAAGAGAAACCTTACCATCTGCTGAAGGAATGCGCGAATTTGAAATTAAGTTAATTTAAGGTGAAAGTTTGGCAAAACAGGAAACAGTTGGGAAATGAACACATTTTTATGTTATCGCTAGTTTAGGTTAGTTGGTTGACAAGTCATCGATGTCTTACCTTCTGACTTAAAATAAAGTGGAAAGATTAAATAATGGTCGTGGGTATAAAGAACTTTCCTAACTTTTCTTTGAAACAATATTTAATCGGGAGAGACGAAGCAACGTTGGAATGCTCATACGGCGTCGAAACACAACATGGGCCTTTTAAGCTCTAATATTTGATGCCGCGATTATTCCAACACGAGTTCGAATAATCGCGCCAAGCACACTGCGGCCGGCGTTAAACATATATTAGCGCCTGCAAGTCTGTCCGAATACTTCACGCATTGCGCTAAACAGTGCGGTCGCCGCCGGTCCCGGTTGGCGCGGCGTAAAGCCCACATTAGCGCCTACAAGACTGCGTGAATACTTCCCGCGTTGCGCCAAACGCAGTGCAATCGGCCAGTTGGCGCACATTAGCGCCTACATGACTGTATGAATTCTGTGGGACTTCGTGTCATCATTCTTTATTTTCTGCTCCTCATTGTAACGATTCATAAACTTGGATGTTATTTAATTTATTTTTTTTTTATTTTTTTTTATTATACATTGGAAGAAAATAGAACGATCGAAAAAATCACGTTGACATTTTTGATACTTTTATTTGAGATCATTTCAGCGAATTCGCGGAAACTTTTCAGAAAAAGTGTGTGTAGCTTCTTAAAGACATATATTAATAAAAATAAGACATTAAAGTTGTGCATAACGTTATGCAGTCAGATAAATACACGCTTTCTCTCGGGTGCTACGGTTTCGGGGTTTGAATCCATTTATCTCTTAAAAAACTTGAACATGGTTGTTCTAGGATTTTTTACGAGTAGTTTTTTCAGTGGTTGGCGGCCGCGTAAACAATCGCAGCTCTGAGAAGTCTTGCCCTCTGTCATTTTTTGAATAAGACATTATAAATTCTCTCTCTGGATCCAATTTCAATGTTTAATTCAATCCAATTACTTCTATTTTCCTGAATATGAAAATTCGTACCCTTGACCTAAGGTAGCAACCCCTCCAGACTGTTAAATTCAAATTGGCAGCACCTCTATTTTTGGCACTTTGAAATCCAGCTAATTTTGTCATTGGTTTCTAGTGAATGGATCCCATTCCAGAATGCTGAAAATCTAGAAGATTATCTCATCAAAGACGGCACGTAATCCCGCTGATTGAGCCCGAGCGAACACTTGGCGCGGAAACGGGGTGTGTTTGGACGCGAGTACGACCTTAATGGCCGTTTATCGCGACCGCAGTGCCATATCGAACGAAACTCGGCGGCTCGTGAAAGGGAATACGCCTATTTTTACCCTTCATCTGGAAGTATGATTGGCACCCAGACATCGTCTGCGATTAAGCTCAAGGACGCTACCGAGTGAATATTTAATGCTAACCTTCAAAACAGACCCACATCGATCCCATTTACCCCCGGCCCATCCCCTCGGGAGACCACACCCTATAATTCACACTAATCTTGATTTCTGTGATTTGTGACTCGTGTACCTTCCGACGCGACGATTACATCTGATCCGGTCATTAAAATTTGTCCCGTCTGATTGTGAGTGGCATGCTTTTTCCTGTACTCCAAGTGCTCTTGGTGTAAGTCATTTGGACGAATTCAATCGAAAAAAGCCTAATTGCATGTCTATGGGTAAAACTAGGGGGTGAACGTGAGGAGCATGGGTGGATGGAGGGGGAGTGCACTTGCACTCTCCTTTCGTCCGCAAAAAAGGAGGAAGAAAAAGAGACAAAGAAAGAAGGAGGGAACAAAAGAAAGAAGGATGGACGCTTAGATTTGGTAATTATTCATGATGAAACTAACTCAAATTGCATATTAGATGCTTTAAAATTTGGAAAAGTTTTTTTTTTTTGAGGGGGAAGCCTCATATGTCCCCCCCCCCACCCGGGGGGGAGTGGATCCGTGGAAGTGTCTGGATCCGTCTTTGTTGGGGAGACCGCCCCTCCCCCAAATTGCCCCAATTTGCCCAAGGAGGCCCTATAGGCCCCCCTTTGAAGCTGGGAAGATCCCTCGAGACCCCTTTGGAGCTGGAAGTATCTTACAGATCTACCCCCTTGGTGGGGTGTCTTTTTGTGCCTACCTAAAACTTCCCTTAATGAGGTGCCCTTCTGCCCCCTTACGAGGAGTTTCTCGTTCATTATACCTATTCGCAATTCATGATGTCTAATTTTCAATAATGTTATATTGTTTTAACAGAGAGGTAAACCACTTTACACGTCTTTAAAATTGTTTGTAAAGCCTTAGACTATGGATATTCTCACAATATCTCAAATTTCGGTGTTGTTACATTAACATCTTTGCCTTCTCAGCTTTATCCCCCCATTTAAATGGACTAAAGAGCAAGAAATAGGAAGAATGCCTAAGAATTAGGATCAATAAAGAGAGCAATTTCAAGATAATGTCAAATAATTTATCCTTCAATTTATCGGATATGCGATTTCACGGCACGCGAATCCGCTAAGATATGAAAGAGAATCCACAGGAGCTCGTAAAGCTTTTGAAGAATTCCAGAGACTACTGTAGTACTGCACCTTATTATTTTTCTCTCAACAGTATCTAAATTTCCCCGAGATATATTTTCAATCATAGGAATCAGAATCAGCAGCGAAAAACTAAAACTCTACCGAAAGTTTTTAGAGTATGGTTACGGAACTACCTCGTGAAATGTTTCCAATTTTGGAATGAAATTACCCAAGTTTGCGCTCATAATCGTTGTCGGGATTTTTATTAAACAGAGAGAAAAATGTACCTACGTTGAGCACAAATAAAAGCATTAACAATACGCCAGCGCTTCTTAATCTTTATAACCTAATGTATTGATCGATGGTCGTTGAATACAACACTGTTAACGATAGAGTTGCTAGATTATGGCATAGGCACTTTCTTTCAATTTATCTGATAGGCAATTTCACGACACGCGAGTTCAATAAATGGTATCGTACAAATTGTAAGTAATGTCATGGCTGGTTGTGTATTAAAGAAAGTTTCTAGTGTCCATAAACTCACTATACCAGCTATTTTTGATGTGAGTTTGCTTGATTCAGTCACACTAGTCTCGAAGAGGAAGAGGTTTCCGTGGCCTCTCTAAAAGCCAAGACTAAAAACAGGAGGTAGTACTTCGCTAATGATGACCCTAATTGCAATACATGTTTCCGGCTCATTATAGAAACAACATATGAACCTCATTACAGACTGAGAAAATACTATTTCTGACTCATTTGCATGTTTGCAGAGGGTAAATCTATGGTACGTGTCGACTTGAAATCGCAAAAAAATCAAAATCTTACCTGCTCCTATTTTAGGGATATCGCAATTTGAGATTTTCAAAGCAAATTCAAGTTTTCCGCTGATTTTGATTCGGTTTTTTACTTATTTGTCCATTGAATCGGTGTCGATCGGTTTACGTCGATCGATTCACGTTTTTATTTTTCGTTTGATCCCTGTCGATTATTTTTTACTTTCAGCAAATCGCTTTTTTACTTTTAAACTTACTACTTATTTTTACTAGCAATTTTTTTACTTTCGAATCGTTACACTGAATAGACATAGACATTTTTGGAACTTTTAACTCTATATTTGACCGCATTTTGAGGCTTCCATAGTAAAACTTTTAGAAAATACTTAGTGAATGAACACTGGAAAAAGACACATTGGATCTAGAGTCCAGACTCTTAAAAACATCGACAAGAAAAAATACTCTTGATTCAATCAGACTTAAGCTTATATCAAGAACCAAGCCTCTTAATTTGAGCGGATTTCCTTTTGATTTAAGCATAAATCTGATTGAATCAAGATTCCTTTTTCTTGTAAATATTTTCAAGAGTCTGGACTCTAGATCCAATATTTTTTTTTCTCAGTGAACACGGTGTTTTTAATTTAGACTCTACATTAAGAGAGGTATAATCATCCTCGACGAAATTCTTTTCCCACTATCAAGAATTTCTGAAAGGGGGGGGGGCAGATGAATATTTTCAATTCGAGGGGGCATGATCCCCCCTGCGCTTCCCCCCTTTGTACGCCACTGCTAAAAACTGCAATCCTTCTCAATGCAGAGGAGGTGTCCTTAAACATGTTGCTCGAGTTACTTATTTTGACAGAGGGCACAGAGAGGAAACGGCTTCATGCGACACTAACACAGTCATTTCTCACAGATTCCCGCGCTCCTCTCGTCTCTCGACTCGGATCCACTCACGAACATTCGGTTGGTCCACTGACGTAAGGGCGTACCTCGATTTCCACATGAGCCCTGTTCTCCATATAATTCTATGCTTCCCAGGGCTCATGTGGAAACGGAGATACGTCCTTACGTCAGAGGAGGCATTTCTCGCTGAGGCATTTCCTAGCGAGACTCACGGGTGATTCCCCGTTCGTGACTTCGTTCAGTGACACTTGCTGGTGTTGTCGCCGGTTCCTCCAACAAGCCCCCTCTTAATCGCGGGAAAAAATGCAGACATGCCAATTTGGCACAGGGGTTGTAACCACGCCGGGGCTCGAGTGCCGATGTCTAGCCGTCTCGAAAAAGAAGAAACGCCACTCAGGAATTATTATCAAGAGGTATTTCGGATGAGGAACTGTGGAGCACGATAATGCACCTACGATCCAAAGCGTTTAAGCTTATAGATTCATTTTGGCATTGCGATCTCGGATATAATCAATCGTTGCCTGTATAATACTCATAAAATGTATACATAACGCGGAAAACCAGNCCCCTTGTAACGCACTCGTAACACGGATCTACGCCCCTTTAAAAAAATACTCAACGTTTTTTTCAAGAAGATTCCACCAACAGATTTTGGAGAGTCACAAAGAGAATCGACCGTCGTATAATCCCTTCACCGGCGCGGCGATAGCTCGCTAACTTTATTTCGGGAAAGCTTTTTTAGGGGGTGGGGTGGGGGGAGGGGTTGTACCTTATCCACGGTGGTATCAAAAATGAATTCGCTTACACCCCAATCTATCGGAGTCTGAAAATGTCTGAAAAAGTCTGAAACCCGCTCCACAACGAGGCATGAGAGGCGCAGAGGGTTGTAATAGTTACGAGACGGTTTGACCCTGGACCAACTTCGCGGTTTGAAGTGACTACTTTCATGTTTTTCTTAAAGGAGAACGTTCACCCGTGATTTGAATCGCACGGCAGGCATAACCCATGATTAGATGTGGTTGAAATCATGGGTCTTTGCCTCACATGACGTCGTGAGAAGGCGATCATAGAATACCCATCACTAAATTACGTATTTTTTTACCCCTTCCGGCCTTCCCCTTCCCTCCCCTTTGGAACGACTTTGTGACGTAATTACCCTTTGACACATAGTAAGAAAATTATGCATAACACTGTTCTCGACCCCCTCCCCCATTCTCCTCAGCGTTACTTATTTAGCGAGCGGCTTTTAAGCTTAAGGCGTGAGGGTAACCATTCCTTTCAGAAATTTATCATTACGCCTTTTATAGTCAAAAAAATCAGTTTTGAGCCTCTTGAATGTCAGCAACACGATTCTAGTCGAGATTACTGTTCGAGGACCTATTTTAAAGACAAATCCGGGATCTCGCAACAGCTTATTACGGTACCAGGCCTACACTGTTGCACATAGATATTTTATCAAAACCTTACTGTTGATATGACTATGTGAGCTGTTGAATGGCGGTGTTCTGACCTGTTGCCCAGTGGACGATGGAGTGTCGCTCGTTGTCGAGTTTGTTGACGTCAGCCCGGCGAGAGATGAGGAAGCGTAGGAGGGCAGAGTTCCCAGCGATGACGACCAGATGGAGGGCCGTGTAGCCGTCCTCGTCGGCAGCATCCAAGAGCTCGTGTCCACCGGGGAGCTCAGCAGCCCGCTCCAGCACCAACTCCGCGCAGATCGGCGAGCTGTTCTCCGCGCAGTAGTGCAAAGCCGTCTTCAGCGTCCGGTCTCGCTCCAGGGCGCACTTCGGCTGGAATCAAACCATGAAAGCCCTTAGAGTAGACATTCTAAGAGTAGACTGAGGCTAAGGGCGAAGGGGACGCCCAAAGGAAGGGCGGCGACAGGGGGTTTTAGAAGAAATGAGGGAGTGCCAACACCCTGAGGGGCTTTGGGAGGATAGGGAACTTTGGCGGTTAGGTGTCGCAGAGCGCCAGAGAGCGCTATAAAAAAACAATGGTTAGGTTAGGTTAGGTTAGGTTAGGTTAGGTCAGGTTAGGTTGGGTTAGATTAGGTTAGGTTAGGTTACCTAACATTCTAAGAGTAAACTGAAGCTAAGGGCAAAGGGGACGCCCAAAGAAAGGGTGGCGACAGGGGGTTTTAGAAAAAATGAGGGAAAGCCAACACCTTGAGGGTCTTTGGGTAGATAGTGAACTTTGGCGGTTAGGTGTCGCAGAGCGCCAAAGAGCGCTATAAAAACGGCTTATACATGTACTGAAGTACAGTAGGTACCTGGAGTATTGAGCTGCCGTACACAGCAAAAACACCATAACTCCATTGCCAATTCCCTATCGTTCTTCCTCCAGCCATTACAAGAAACCCCGTTTTCCTTAAGGATTCACTTTTTCATTTTGAATCTCTGATAGTAAGCCAGAGTTGACTCGAAGAAATTATGGATACATGCGTTAGTTTTCTTGTAAGACAGCATTTTCTCGGAAAATTAAAATTGAAAAATGTCATTGAAGATACGGCATTTACACGTTGGACGGCAGTATGAAGCTACGACGTTTTTGCGATATGCGACAGATCGATGTTCAATTGTTCCAATGTAAACAATTAAAAAAAAACCCGAAGTCCAAACGTTGTGTTAAATATTCTTTTTGTTTGCTTATTATAAATTTATCAGAGGTAGGTTAGAGAGCTTACAAAGAAGGAGAAAGTGTCAACTCCCTTTAAAGGGCTGCGGTTAGGATAAGTGTTGCAGAGCAATAGCAGAACGGATCAAAGCAAAAATTTTACAAAGTTCGAAGTCAGTCTACAGTCATACTGATTCCCCGACTAGGCTTACTTAATGAAAATAAAAAAGGGATTCCATCATTTAATGTGTATTTGTACTTCCAAGATTTGTGGTTAAATTTGCAACACTTTTAATGCAGAATTTTGATCAGACTGGACCACGCCAGACAAAAGTTAAACATTTTACTTACTTTGCGCTCTTTAGAATTATAACAATCTCCAGTTGTTATTATCACTATAAAGTTTACTACTTTCTGATATGGAAAAGTGTTTCACAAACACAGCAGTACCACTTGAGAAATAATTTGTGCGCTAAGTGGGTATAAAATTATGAAAATGCAAAACACATTACCTTACTCCTGAGCAGGGCCCTCACATCCTCTGGTCTTTCTTGCTGGCAAGCATACATAAGAGGAGTCGCTCCTTCGCCCTCTGAACCATGACTTCCCTCCATATTAGTCACGCTCTAAAAACACAACAAAATGTTTTGTGAATAAAAATTGCAAGGAATCAATCCAATTGATTAATATAATTCTAAATTGGGATCCTATAATAACTGACAGCATAATAACTGAACAGCCGAACACTAGCATAAAATAATCTCCCAGAAAGGCAACTCGATTTCTCCTTATTTTTTGCAACGGAATGAGATATTGTAATGAAGGTGTTTGGGGCCTTATAGACTGTCCCGTCTTCGTTAGGTAGCAGGTTGAATGTCACGATTAGGGCGAAAAGACATTTAAGATGAAATCATGCTTAAATGACGATAAAATTCGAAAAAGTGATAGTTTGCTAATTTCATCAAAAGATTGTGGTTCTGTTGAAATTATTGGTGGCTTGTAGAGCTTGTCATCGAGTAAACGAAAAAATTGCTTTGTTTTTAAAAAATAAAATAAAATAAAAATAAAGTAAAAATATAAATAATATCCCCACCAGCAAAAATTAAGGGGGGGGGAGGATGATTGATTTAGGGGGACCGTAACTTCGATTAAAAATATTAATTGTGTTTAAGAAAAGGAAGAAAAGTAAAAAATAACACCAGCGAGAACACCTCACGCCTCACGCTTGATGTAACTTTAAAACCGCCTGCACCATGGCGATGGAGAGGGTGTTGAAGAATGAAATATTTTTAAACATCTATGATGTTTCATGAAGTAGGAAAGATTAGGGTGAAGAAAATCGCATAAGAACGAGACATCACAAGACAACACCAAAACGAAGGGAGATGAGTCAGTATTATTAGATTAATACTTCAAAATTAAGGAACACCTTGTAGCTGTAAATAAATTACCTCTTTCACAGTTACAAAAATATCCTCACATTTGATCGAAATCATTTCACGTTGGTTTGATCACCGAAAAAACACTTATCTCCGAGAGACAAGAGGAAATGTTTAAAATAAAAGCACAGGGTCCCCACGGGTAGAGACCGCACCAGAACACATCGGAACCGGTGAGATGAGAAGAAATCCCGTGGCATGCACTCGCCCACCGGACCTTAAGAGATACCCACGATTAATAAACATTTTGCTGCCTGGCTTGGACCTGGATCGTGAAAAACACCCCTCCGGCAAATAACTGGGAATTTATTTACCATAATGAGGTGAAGGCCTTTCCAACTGTGCACAAGCTTCGGGCACTCTTGCACGCTACTTCCTGTGGACTGACCTATTGCTGACCAACCTAGGTGCCAAACTTTAAACAAAAATCCCCCAAATTACATTTGCTATGGACACGTTAAATTTTTAACTCTTGTAGTCGTTCTGAAGAGAAATTTCGGGGTTGTATTCGTATAGTCATCCCTTCAGTAACTCTTCAATTTAGAAGGCTCTTTATGGTTCACATTGTGATTAATGGAGGTTTAAGGAAGCCCACTGACTGAGTAACATCATCAAAAGATAAATCCTTTCGAACCTTGAGTTACATTCCGTACTGTCCTTTAGCAATGGGTCCTTATAAGGGATGACAATGTATTCTCACAGCAAAAAGTTCGAAATACGGAAGGAAAAATTTTAAGATTGTGACAAACTTTAAGGCATGTACGAACCTATCTCAAATTTTATAAGACTTGCGGTGCATTTACTTTTGTGTTTTGTATTTTATGTAGCGGTCAATCATTCTCATCTTTTTTAAGGATCCATTTCCTAAAGTTATACTGCAGAATTTTACTTTGAGGTCTGAAAAATTTGCCATTTATGATGTTATGATCAGGACCTCATAGAACTTCCCCTAATCACAATGTGAAACATATGGAGCTACTTAAGGGAAGGACGTGTTTAAGGAACGATTATAAATACTGCTATTGTGTACTACCTCCTATAGCTTCTGATTTATTTTGTCTTAGGAAAAACAAAAATACCAATTGAAGACGCCATAGTTATTTTCCGGTTGTGAGGTTGGGATTAAGTATGTGGGTTTTTTATGTCTTTTCTCATGTTCATACCGCGGCAATAGAAGATCCACTAGGATCCACTCCTTTCATTTTAGACCCATGATCTAAGTGTACAGAATGGATTTAAATGGAGAAAAATTGAACTCGGTACTTAAGTGTCCAGCTGTTTTTTCGTATTTTTTTTTTCGTATTTTTTTTTTCGTTTTTTTTTTTTTTTTTTTTTTTTCCATAATTTTAATATTTCCTAATTCCACAATGGTCTTCTTTTTCTCCAAGGTCCTCATTCTATCACCTTGAAACCTCGGAATTGTAAGGGTAACTTTCTTTCTTGCAATCTAGTTTGGACCTAAATGAAAAGCGAGAGATTTGGACACATCTCAATTTATAATTTCCATCCAATATTACATGAAGGAATTTTAAAGAATATATCCCCACAACTAGGCAACCGTCCAGACTCTAGCTAATGCATGCTCCATAGAGTAGCGCCACCCTCACCCCTCCATCCATCCCTCCAGAACACTTCGTCCGATTTCCACCATGGCGGGGGTTCATTTATCTTGATGTATATTTTTCTTTCATTTTTTCGAAGTGAATTCGTGGCTTGAACTTGAGCCGAGGTGACACCAAATATGGGATCAGCGGGTCAAGAAAATCTGAGCCATTACTGCGTCCGGTTATTTTGTAATCTTGGATGATAATAACAGGGAGCCGCCTTTTAATTTCCTGTTTCGCGGCTGATTTTGAGAATTGGTTCAAAAGGTTAATCATTCCACTCTTTGAAAATCAATCAAATGCCTGTGAAATTAAAAAGCCGACGCCAAATAAGCACAATTTCCTTTTTCTTACTTCGCGGCAATGTTTTGTCTATTATATGTTCATTTGAAGGCGTAAGTACTTCATAAAACGATGGCCGTGATCATCAATTTTAACTCTGTAGATATAAAGGTATCAAAATTGTCAAGGTGCCATAACATGAAATTTGAACCACTTCAGGTTTTCCCCCTTCCCTCATTTCATTTCCATACCCTTCCTTCCTCTATTTTTCTTTTGACTGCCCTTTCCCTATCTCATGAATCTCCCTGTATATTCTCCCATTTTTATTTCTTCCCTCCTGTGCTCTTATCTCCTCCATTGAGTAAACACTGATAATTTATGGTTCAAATTATTTACAACTATAACTCATGACATGAAACGATCAATGTGCAGCTCATGACTGCATAACTCTTACAGTCAATGAACTTTAATAAAATCAAGCACGGCATCACTCCAATAGATTTACATTGAGTAAATAGCATGCAACATTCCAATGAATGCAAGAATCAAAGCTCTCAATGAGGTGCTGCCAAAAAGGTGAAAACTGTAGTCTATGATTCAACAAAATAGAGACATTATAATTGGAAAAAGAACCTTTTGTTGATGAGAAATATGACAGTTGTATTGTAGTGGATTATAAAGGTACATATTTAAATTATAGAGGCAATCTACATTACCACTTAGATGGTTAATGCAACCTGTACAAAATACTACCAATATGAAGTGCGTTAGACTTTTCTATACTGAAATAAAATGTGTCAGCAACTTTATAAATTTGCGACGCTGCAATCTACGATGCGTGTTGTTCTAGTTTTGAATATAAAGGTAAGACATTCCTGAAAATAATTACGAAGAATGACTATTTGGGAAAATGTTTCGGCCTTTAAGGGAGGGAGCAGGCTTTCTGAACCCTTTTAGCTACCCCGCTTAGACTAGTCTGCCGTGCTAAGGAAGAACACCGTCAGAACATCCGAATGTTGCCAAATTTCCTTTTATAAAATTTTTATTGTTTAGGAAAATTATGAATATTTGTCCTCGGAATTTTCAGACACTTTAAATCAAATTACAAACAAAATTATCTCAAAAATTGGCAGAAAATTTTTCAAAAATTTTCCTGGAAATTATTGATTCGCCAGAGGAAATGTGGCAACTCCTGAAGGCTCATACGGCGTTTTTCCTCAGCAAGGCAGAAGTAGCATTAAACTGACAGCTAGGTTGGGGAGGACGAATTAGGTGTTTCATGAGTTTCCATCGAAAGTTTACATTAAAGTATGGATCAAACTTGCATCAAGATTCTACAACTTTACATGAGGAGTACGGTAACGGTTTGTGCGAGCCTCGCATTGTCACGCAATTTATTAACGCGACATCCGCATTACATATCTTTTGTGCCCCACCCTCTGTGAGAAAAACCCCCAACTCGCCTCAAATAGCCCATCGAAGCTCTCAACAGCGGATCATTTAATTTGTTGAGCGCGTGTCCACCGTTTCGTCCATGTTCTTGAAAACAAGTTAATCTTTGGATCGATTTAAGAGGATATAAAATAAAACGACTACGAGTCTATTAATCCTGCTTTCATCGTTCGTTGACTGGATGGTGTTACCGCACGGCTATAGTTTGAGCCGTTATTTACTCCTTGTTTCTTTTGAAATTGAAGATTATTTAAATTTATTCAATCAGTGTTTTTTTATGAATATTACTTTTACGTTAGTTACGTGTGGCGCTAAACAAATTTCAAGTATTCATGCCTAAGAAGTGCCTTTGTAGAAGGAATTGAAGAATTGAAGTCTTTTGGCATCCTCGCAGTACCGCCCGCCGATAGCGTGCCGTGCCTACGAATAAAGCGGTGAGTGCCTAGAAAGTCAAAACGCCTTCATTCCCGTGCATAGGCAACACGGGCATCCATAAAGCCTGAATAGTTGCGCATCCAGGCGTTTGGTGGATTTAACAAGGCATCGGATAGAATTATTGAAGATTTAACGAGATGACTGAGGACGATGTTTAATTAATCATTCAGGGCGTCGCAACAATCTTGTCACCAATACCTCTTACCTCATCTTCTATTATTTTCACACTTTCCCTTTTATTTTAATTCTTTGTACGTTTTCTTTAAAATGTTTATTATTCCCTCTCTTTATCTTAGTTCATTTTTTTTACTCAGTTTTACGTATATTATATTTTCATTTATTCGTTGCTACATTTCGTCGTACATAGTTGCTTCACAACTATGGGGTTGTGCAAGCAAATCTAATATAAA